GGCGGAAGGAAGGGAGATCAGGGATCACCCTGATCTCTGGGGGCAGTTCGTTCCAGAGGGTGGGAGCTCCCACAGAGAAGGCCCTACCCCTTGGGGTCGCCAGCCGGCACTGTCTGGCTGACGGCACCCCGAGGAGACCCACTCTGTGGGAGCGTACAGGTCGGTGGGAGGTAATCTGTGGCAGGAGGCGGTCTCGAAGTTAAGGAATCGAGTTTCTGTGAACTGTGTTTGTTTGCCTTGGACATTGACTCAGGTCTGTGAATAATAAAAGGGGATTGGTTGTTTCCTGAGGTTGTTTCCTGAGGTTGTTTCCTGAGGTTCCAGCCTGCTTGTTGGAAGAGGGGTTTCTCCTTGTGAGTATAACAAGGACTCACATAGGCTGGGACAGAACAATGTGATTATCACTTGTCAACATTCCAGCTAATGCCCGACAACCACTCACTTAAGTCAGATTTGCTTAATGACTGTATTGTTAACTTAACAACTGCAGGGACTAGAATTTCTGCTGCCAAGGAAGAGGTGATGATAAGTAAGTCAGCCCGATTTAATGACCTCTTGGGCCACAGTTATTAAGCAAATTTACTGCGGTTGTTAAACGAGTCGTGCAGCAATTCAGCGAATCGCATCGCTCTGGGACCCGCAACTGTTGTAAACGCCTGTCGGTTGCCAAGCGCCCCAAATTTGACTGTGTGAGAGCACGGGGATGCTGTGAGAGTCGTAAGTGCAAGGGCCAGTGGCAAGTCCCTTTTTTTGCGCTGTGAAAACTTGGAAAGAGTCGCGAAACGAAGGGACGTTAAAGTCCAGGGCGATCTGTAAAGAAGATTCCGATGGGCCCAGGTGACTTGACTGCCATTACCTGCTAAAATGGTTTGTAGGGACTCGTCTTTCACCACCACTGTCTGCTTCCTCACGTTCCTAAGCAGGGGGGAAAAGATGTGGGAGAACAAAAGGGTCATTCCGTTCCACGTGACGCGTCTTTGCAAAGGGAAAAGACGGTCTGGGAGGGAAAGAGAGGTTCAACGCTTACCAGACCGATAGGGTTGCCGCTGTGGTGAGAGCCATGATGTAAAACCCTGTACAGTGCAACGTTGAGATGGGGGAATGCAGGACGATGGGAGGGAGGAGGCGACGGCCACACGCCGAAAACACGGAGAGGGTCCGCTTTTCACAAGCCACACTCACTACCTCGCTGGGGGGGAAAAAAGCACAAGAGAAATAGACATTGGGTCCGTTGGACTCGTGGTGAAGGCATCAGGCTAGAAAGAGGGAGACGGGAGTTCTAGTCCCACTCTAGGCGTGAAAGCCAAGTGAAGGTCTTTCTGCCAATCATCCGGAGAGAGTTCTAGTCCCGCCTTGGGCGTGAAAACTGGCTGAGTGACTTTGGACCGATCACCAGGAGACTGGGAGTTCTAGTTTCATCTTAGGCATGAAAGCCAACTGGGTGACTTTGGGCCAGTCACCAAGAGACAGTGAGTTCTAGTCCCGCCTTAGGCATGAAAGCCAACTGGGTGACTTTGGGCCAATCACCAGGAGACAGTGAATTCTAGTCCTGCCTTAGGCATGAAAGCCAACTGGGTGACTTTGGACCAATCACCAGGAGACAGTGAATTCTAGTCCCGCCTTAGGCATGAAAGCCAACTGGGTGACTTTGGGCCAATCATCCGGAGACGGTGAGTTCTAGTCCCGCCTTAAGACATGAAAACGGCTGGATAACTTTGGACCAATCACCAGGAGTCTGGGAGTTCTAGTTCCATCTTAGGCATGAAAGCTGGCTAGGGAACTTTCAGCCAATGATTAGGAGACTGTGAGTCCTCAGGGATGAAAGGCAGCGAGGTGACCTTGGGCCAGTCCCTCTCACCCTCAGCCCAACCCACCTTATGGGAGTGTTGTGGTTGGGAAAATAGAAACAGGAAGGAATATTAGATGTGTTCACCATCTTACGTTTTTTATAAAAATAATAAAGATGGGATTTTAAAAAAAACCCTAAAAAGAAAAAGGCACAATTCCTCAACCTTTCCAGCAAAGCCGATTAGCCTACGAAACAGTAACAAAACCAAAATAAAAAAATCAACATTAAAGTTAAACCAGGCACATGAACAAACCCAACCAGCTTCAAAAGGATCCAGGATAGAAAAATCTTTGCAAGGATGATTCTGGATCCCTTGCTTACAGGGGCGAGCGAGACAGGCCTAAAAGGCAGATGGTTGATCCCCAAATATTAGGATTGTGTGGATTGGGAGTCTCAGATCAACACAGAGGCCTCACCTTGGGAAAGGTCACTTTTTAATCCAATGCACCAAGTTTTTAGCACGTTCTCTCTTCACTGCGCGTGCCCAGACCCCCACACTTACCAGCTTCCCGCCGCAGAGAGAATTCGGCTGGTGAGCAACGTCTCCCACTCTTTCCCTTCTCGGTTGCATTTCAGTCTGCTGAGTTTGGACCCTCCCACGGTCGTGATCTCGTTTTCCACTTCGATATACATCGAGGGATCGGAGCTCACCTGCAAGAGAGGTTTCATCTGAAGCCCTGAGCAGTCCCAGTTCAAGCCAGCGGAGAAACCTGGAAGTGTGTGAAGAACCTGATCTGGGGGGTAGTTAAAAACGCAGGTGCTGGTACGTTCCTCTCCTTGAAATAGACAGACCGACAGAAGAAAGAAAGAAAGAAAGAAAGAAAGAAAGAAAGAAAGAAAGAAAGAAAGAAAGAAAGAAAGAAAGAAAGAAAGAAAGAAAGAAAGAAAGAAAGAAAGAAAGAGTTGGAGAGAGAGAATATACTGGAGATAGATAGATAGATAGATAGATAGATAGATAGATAGATAGATAGATAGATAGATAGATAGATAGATAGATAGATAGATAGATGTAGGTAGATAAATAGGTAAATAGGTAGATAGATAATAGAGAGATAGAGATAGAGATAAAGATAGATAAAGCTGAATTAGATAGAGTAGCTAAGAAGAAAGATAGATAGATAGATAGATAGATAGATAGATAGATAGATAGATAGATAGATAGATAGATAGATAGATAGATAGATAGATGATTGATAGATAGATAGAGGTAGGTAGGTAGATAAATAGGTAAATAGGTAGATAGATAATAGAGAGGTAGAGATAGAGATAAAGATAGATAAAGCTGAACTAGATAGAGTAGCTAAAAAGAAAGATAGATAGATAGATAGATAGATAGATAGATAGATAGATAGATAGATAGATAGATAGATAGATAGATAGACAGACAGAGATAGAGGTAGGTAGATAAATAGGTAGATAGATAATAGAGAGATAGAGATAGAGATAAAGATAGATAAAGCTGAACTAGATAGAGTAGCTAAGAAGAAATATAGATATTTAGATAGATATTTAGATAGATTTGGAGGCCCTGCGTATGATTCTAGGTTAGACAGGTAGAAAAAGGGCAGGACAAGAACCTAATAACAAATACAGTCCACCTCTTACCTGTAAAGCAAATGACTTCTGTAGGACCGGGGTCGGCAGTTTAAGTGCTAAGGGTGTACTGTGGCACACACCATCCTTCTCGGATGCTAATATAGCTGGAGACTGGGAGACAAAACAAAGCATGTTAAGAAGGAGGCCACTCTCAACTCCACTCTGCCACAAATTCTGCTGGCTGATTAAATTAAGCAATCTAGCTCAGGGGTCCCCAATCCCCGGTCCGTGGACCGGTACCGGGCCGTGGCATGCCAGCAACCGGTCCACGCAAACAAGCAAAGCCCCATCCGTGGGATGTAGGCAGCACACAAAACCACGCACCCTCCGGTCCGTGGAAAAAACCTCTCTCCACGGAACCGGTCCCTGGTGCCCAAAAGGTTGGGGGTGGGGGGGCGCTGATCTAGCTGGTTTTCAGAAGAACTCTGCATGGTGCATCTGAGCTGGGTTTGAAATAACCCAACCAGGCTGAAGCGCACGTGTGTTTGGTGAGAAAAATCAGAGTGGAATCGATTAAATCAAGTAGATATATATAGAGAGAGACCACTGTTTGTTTTCAATAGCGATAGCTAGCGATAGCACCTAGACTTATACACTGCCCCGCCGTGCTTTACAGCAGGGGTCCCCAATCCCCGGTCTGTGGACCGGTACTGGGCCGCAGCATGCCAGCAACCGGTCCGCGGAAACAAGCAAAGCCCCATCCGTGGGATGTAGGCAGCACACGAAACCACGCCCCCTCCGGTCCGCGGGAAAACCTCTCTCCATGGAACCGGTCCCTAGTGCCCAAAAGATTGGGGACCTCTGCTTCACAGCACGCTCTGAGCAGTTTACAATGCCAGCAGACTGGCCCCAACAATTTGGGTCCTCAATTTACCGACCTCGGAAGGATGGACGGATGAGTCCATTTTGAGCCCGATCAGGATCGAATTCCAGGCCGTGGGCAGAGTTTGCCTGCAATACTGCATTCGAACCGCTGCGCCACCAGGCGCCAGCACGCCAATAGGAGAGAATATTTGCACCTTAGGATTGAACTATGGTGCTCTCTGAGCTTGGCTGTCTTCTTGCAAATGTTTCATGACTCCCCTAGCTAACATCCTCCGTGCTACTATGCAATAAACCAGGATGATTTGCTTAATTTGCCTGCAGCTAGATTAAGAACGTACAGTCTGGTTTCTAAAATGGATTAAAAAAAGGGGGGGGGATCTGTCGTCGTGTATCGGAGAGAGATGACAACCGCCTTCGGTTACCTGAACGGTTAAAGTGACAGGCATCAGCCGGGAGTCTTTCCGAGGTCTTCCCTTCTTCTTCTTTTCAACGTCAAGGTCCAGCTTTCGCTTGGAGAGCGACAAGGGTTTGACGGCGAGTTTTTCTTCGCTATCGCTGCTACTCTC